TTAAAGTGTACAATTGCAGGCGCATGCCTAGAGGAGTAATAGCTGGCTCCTAACAAAAGAGCCTGGATTCCACAATATGTCTTTTGCCAGAGGCATCGTTCCCCAAAGCATACAGCTAACTGCATCTCCTGCTGTACCTGTAACAATTTAATTGTATAAGTCAGCCTAGTCAAGCATCTCCAGCTCGTGACTGGGAGACATGAAATTCATTGTCATTATTGTCCCTGTCATTTTGGATCATTATATCCGGCTGCAGAATTTTCCTCACTTCAGTGCATTTTTACCTCCAGGAGCCAGGGATTATAGCTGAGGTTGGGGTGGGGGCAGGACCGTGAACTACATTTACCTCAGGGGAGCCAGAGATTAAATTGGCTTTGCTCTCTCACGAGCTGAATTCATCTATTTGTATGCTGTGAGTTTTAGGTTGGAATAAAAATGAATATTCTAGTGAAACCTGGGCTTTAATTCCCCCTTTGAAACATGGATGTAACCAACTTTTATTTACATTAGGAAAAGGCAATATAATTTCTTATAGTTGCTCTTTTCATATGTGCATAAGGAATGCTTAGAAGCATCATCGGATATGAAACGACAGACATCTCTGTCAATGTCTTGACTCTCAGAAAGGAGAAATTTAAAGCTGTAATTTTGTTCTTCAGTTTTATTTTACAATGGCTTAATGGAGGTATTTAATGGTTTTTAATATTTAATGATTTTTAATTATAGCTCATTTTCTGTGTACTAGATTGGATGACTGGAGTCTAACTAGAATAGCCACAAAGATCCACTATGGGAACAAATAGAGGGGAAAAAAAAATAAGTCCCTAAGAAAACTGGCTACCCCTAACAGCTGGTTCACATCATCTCACAGCCTGTCAAGTCACCCAAGCATACCATGCCCTAAACAGTTTCTTCTAACTTGAGAAAGTTGGCCTGGTCACCATCCTCTCTACCTGGTAACTCCCTTATCAGCAGTAACGGCCAGCTGTGGGTTTCTACTAGGCAAGTTCAAAAATACTAGGACATGTCTCAGTCAGAAAACCAGTGAGTTGACTATATGATTACTCTAATAGACTATAAGAAGGAAATACAACTGCAGGGAAAACTGGTATGTCATTTACTATCCCAACTTTCATTTCATACGGATTTCACTGAGAAGTTTGAGATTCTGTCTGCATTTAAAAAGATGACAGTTATTCCTCCATACACGTGAATTTGTTTTTCAGTGGTTAACAATCAAATATGGCACAGATCATAATTACGCCATGTACAGAATAGTAACTATAATTACTACATCAAAATGTATGAAGGGCCAGACGAAGTGGCTCATGCCTGTAATCCCAACACTTTGGGAGGCCAAGGTGGGAGGATCACTTGAGGCCAGGAGTTCAAGACCAGACTGTCTCTGCAAAAAATGAAAATTAAAAAATATATATAAAATGTTGGAGGGAAAAGTGCATGGAACTTATTACCTCTATGAACTTTTGTGAGAGAACAAACTCTGCCTTCATCATATGCAGTGGCCATCAAAATTTAATTAGGATGAACTGGGTTTATGAGAAATTAAATTTTTTATCTTTGTATATTTTGTACTTCAGAGGAAACATCTTACAGCCCTAACATCTCTGCACTGAAGATACCTTACAGATCTTCTCAGTGCCTGGAAGACTGAGAAACGTTTACTAGTTTGTCCCACTATATTTTCACACCATTATATTTCACTTTTCATTGGTGCTGAAGTAAGTGTATAAGGTATTACTAATAAGAGTTTTTAGTTAGCAAAACTTCTTGCAGCATTAAAAGTTCATTTGATTATCTGGTCACAGTGGCTCACGTCTATAATTTCAACACTTTGGGAGGCCAAGGCGGGAGAATCCCTTGAGCTCAGGAGTTCAAGACTAGCCTAGGAAATGTAGCGAGACCTTGTCTCTATCAAAAGTAAAAAACAACTAGCCAGGTATAGTGGCACATGCTAACTATAATCCCAGTTACTTGAGAAACTGAGGCAGGAGGATTGCTTGAGCCCTGGAGATTAGAGGCTTCAGGAAGCTATGATCAGGCTACGGCACGCCAGCCTGGGTGATAGGGCAAGACTCTGTCTCAAAAAACTTAATTAAAATTAAAAGTTCATTTGATTACTTATGCCACTTTTTCATCAGATTCAAAATTCTCCCTTGGTGGGAGTTACAAAAATTATTTCTGTTCGCTTTAAAATGGCTAATTTTAATTGAATTTTATTGAATTTCACCTCAATACATTATTTTTAAAGTAAATTCAACATTATTTCAAGAAGCCTGAATGCAACTTGAAATCACTTCGGTGGCTGTTGTTATACTCTCATCATGGTGATTTATCAAGAAGAGTATGTATTTTCCTTGTTAAGAAAAGCTTATCTTATAAACTACAATGTTTAGACTTGGGTTTGCAATGATAAAACTTCACATTGAAATATTTTTCTCTCTGAAATACTTTAGTAGCAGGATGATACTGTAATAACGTTTTTCCAGTCAAAGGGAAAAAAGGCATTCATTCCTTTTGTTGAGCATGGATTTACTCATTTAGTTCTTTTACCTACATGCTCCTCGTCATCTTATTTCCATGTCAATATTCAATTTGATCATCATACCATATTAGGTAAAACAAGAGTTGCCCCACATGTAAACATGTTGTAAAACCACAGAACTACACTGTTGCACATGCTTGTTTTGCCTCACCTCAAGTATAATATAGTTAGGCCTGTACCATTTTAGAACAAGGTAAAAAGACAAATTATTTATATCAAATGAGTAGAATATAATTATTTTTACTCCTTTGGCTCAAGACTTAATGAGTTTACAACCGATTTCCAAACAGCAATTTGAAAATATTTTAAATACTTTTTAAATTTTTCAGAAATTTTTGCTAAGCTCATAATTGCAATCTATAACAGGCTATAAAGATCAATTCTAGATTAAAAGATTCTTTTTCCTCATGATTCTAAGAGAATAATGTTTCTTCTGCCTTGTGTAACAAAGATTTCCCTTGGCTTCTTTATGTAGAATCAATAAGAATTTACAATTCACAACAATACCAAACCAATGTAAAACAGGATGTCACAAATTCAGACATGACATTCGCTAATATTTCTTTTCTTCTTTTTTTTTTTGAAATAGGGTCTCATGCTGTCACCCAGGCTGGAGTGTAATGGCGGAATCTCAGCTCACTCTGGCCACCTCAGTCCCCCAAGTAGCTGGGACTATAAGTGCATGCCACCACACCTGGCTAATTTTTTGTATTTTTAGTAGAGATGAGGTTTCACCATGTTGGTCTCAAACTGGGCTCAAGTGATCTGGCTGCCTTGGCCTCCTAAAGTGCTAAGATTACAGGCATGAGCCAACATGCCCAGCCCACTAATATTTATTTTTAAAAGATTCAGATATTGACAAGCTTATAAATAAAATTTGTTAGTACCCAATAGATCACAAAGCATAGAAAATGAGTAAGTATGTGAGAGGGTTTGTGCGGGAGGGATTAGTAATAAGATGGAAAGGCCACAAACATTTCCATGTCAGGATGGGCAGGATGCTATTTACAGAATGCCTTCTTACTCCTCCTGGACCAAAAATCTCTTTACTATAATCACCCAATAAACTACAATGGGTTAACATTAAGGGTCTGATGCAGAGAAAGCAAATTCACAGTTAAGGTTGTCCTTTAACATGTAGACTCAATCAAGGGCACCAAAAAAATAGTTAAGTGGCCCCCCTGTGGTGTTCAGATGCTGGGAAGCACTGCAAACTGAATTTTCTAGCTTTTAATGTTTGCCTAAGACCCTTAACATTTTTCTAATATTGTTGTTCCTAGGACATTTTCTTGAGTTTGGTACACATATACTTTTTGCATTTATATATGAAAGCCTGACAGCTGAATTGGTTCAGAAATGTAACACTGGAAAGAAGAAAAAAACACAGGGATAGCCTTTGGGACATCCCATAGTATTCAGTATAAATATCAAAATATCCTGAAAAAAATAAAACAACAACAACAAATTCTTCTTACTAGGAGTTTAGATATCTAATACTAAATAGAAAAGATAATATAATGGGTGTTGGGGGCTCACTGAGATATAGAATCTAAGCTGTCCTCTGCATCACAAAATTTTTAGGACTTTTTGAACATGTATAATTATCTGTGTTCAGCTATTTCCTTATAAATGGACACCCTTGGACTATATTCCAATCTCACACACTTTAAAACTACTAGTAAAATTTTACAAATGGCTTTGCCTGTTTTGTTTTATATTGTTTTGTGGTCCATCTGGAGATATATTAAGTGCTCCTTCAAATAAAATGTACAAAATTATATTGCACACATGCAAAAAAAAAAAAAAAAAGAATGAACATTGAACACATGGCAAATGGCCACTAGGTAATGTCACTATTAGAAAACATCTAACAACAATAAAATAAGCAATAAAAACTGAGAGCACAGTTTCACAGATGCAATGTTCATCTACCTTCATCATCTAAATTATACATTCAAGAACTGTGTCCTGTGCAAAATACAAACATGTCAATTTCAGCCCACAGGGCATTTTTCCCCCTAGGTTTATAACCCCTTGAAAATAGAGGTTTCATCTAGAAAACTTAACATATCCTCAGCTGCTTTCAACATTATAATATATTCATAAGGCAAATATTCACTAGCAAACACATAACAAATTACATGGCATGAGGGTGAGGACCAAATTCATAATGATGAGAAATGGACCAAACCAACCATGAGACACAAAGTAGAAATCAAAGAAGAAAACAAATATGTAAAATAAACAATATTAAAGGTAAAACATTATGGTTAGTTTTTCAGCCACTGTTAGAGAAAATGGTTAATATGTGCATGCAAGTGCGTTTGTGTGTTGTGTAAGATTAGTATTTAAAGATGCAAAACTATCTCCTTAAGAATATACTATAAGGGTCATGAGTGAGAGAAAAGTATCTGTGAGGAAAAAAAATATCACATACCGTCATAGTAGACAATTGCTCCTACCAGTTTGTCCTTCTGGAGCATTGGGAAATGTTCAAGGGCTCTTGATTTGCTGAGGACATAACTGCTTTTCAGGCAATTGCTTCCTGCAACCAAATCATACAGCTTGATTCCTACCCAGTAGTAAGGTAACTGCCACCACCTACAGCATAAATAGAGGGGAAAGTTCTTTAGAAACAGAGTATAGCATTATAGAACGTTACCTTACAGTACAAGACCCCTTTCATTTAAGAAAAACAAAGCATACCTAGAAGTGGACTGCAAAAGAAACAGACTTATGCAACTGTTTTTGACACCAATCTAGCTGAAGTCTGTAAGTAAAATAAATCAATGAGATTTTTAAATGAATCTTCTCTGAGGCAGTTGTTCTCAACCTGGCTGAATATTAGAACTCTCTGGGGAACATTAAAAATAAATACTGATGCCTAAACCTCATACATCCAGAAATTGATTTAACTAGACTAGGGTGGGGGCCCGGATGATGACAATGTGCACCCAGGATTAAGAAACACTGGTTCAGGAAGTCCTAAGCGATCTATGAGGAAGGATGAACAAAGTTGTAAAAAATCTGTTTCCAGCCCCCTACAACACTAATGTGGTTAACAGAGTTACATAATCTACTTTTTCATACTACCTGAATTCCAATGTAAGGCAACTTCATGGATAGCTCTAACAACATTAGGAAAATTAAGTTTTATAATTTATAATCTGACCCTTCCTAACCAAATTTCAGCCTTGGTTAACTCAGACACGTAACATGACTCAAAATGGCTTGGGTTTCAAGTGGGTATATGGTATGTTTACATTTTACAACAGGATACTTTAGCGGAGCCATTTACAGTCTGCACATGATCCTCTTATGTTCCTTAATGCAAATGCAGTTGCTCATCTATATACTCTCAGAAACTGGAGGAAGAAACTACTAATTACAAATACAGAACACGACCTCCTTTGCCTTTAAAATCTAGAGATAGGCCAGTAGAGAGCAATTTAAGAAAAGCCATACTTTTAAATACAACAAAGGAAAATACTTGAAAAGGATTAAAGATTAGGACCAATTAAAACCAAATTATGAAATATGCATTGCGGGATTATTTCCATTAAAACTGTTGTTCTATTGACCGCAGAGAAGCAAATGCATACACGTGATATCAAAAGGCTTACTTGTAAACTGGAAGCATTATAGGCAAAGGAGCTGATAAATGGGGAGCAATTTCTAGCAGGTTGGCACGCTCATGAAGGGCTTCTTTTACCATCCTATACTGAAAGGCAAAACAGAGAAAATTAGTTTGGCAGTAACAGATCATAATATTTTCAAATGGCAAATAGACACCCTGCCAACTGATTGATACACAGAAACCTCTACCTCTGAGTGAAGATAGCTCCCTCCTAATCAAATTTCTAATAATACATCATGCTGTCAACCTCAAAGATTTTTTAGAAACCTTAACTGTATTTGCATAGGAGAAAAACATGCTGTCAGAGTTCCCAGGTGTAAGATATTTTCCTGACTTGAGTTACAAGATTATTGTAGCCATTTATCTTGCATCCTCTGGATTGTCTCCCTTTCTCAGTTCCCCATATTATTTTTTCTGTGTAGGAGATAACAGATTGTTCAAGTTCATGCTAAAAGTTTCTGTCTTGCCCTCACGAAACCAAGCAATGATGCTACTTAACAGTTGCACAGTATTTTATAGATTATAAAAAGGCTTTGTCTTAACTGCTGTAGTCCTCATTATGCCTCTCTAAAAAGCCAGCAATGCTATTATAACACTAATTTTACAAATAAGATAACAGACTCATAGATTTTGAGTAAATAAGCCTGACCACATCACAAGTTAGCTGATTCTAAATCCTATGCTGTTTTCATTGCATCCATCATGATGCGAAGAGAATATAAGAAAAGGGGACAGATTCAAAACTGACTTATCAAGAAAAAAAACGAGACAGATTCAAAACTTGACAATGTCAAGCCAGTGCTGCTGTGTTTTTCACGTACAAAAAGAGATAGGAAGTTCAGCTGATTTTTTTTACCCCTCTGGGAAATGTCATCTTCCACACTGCCTTGGCAGTTTTCAAATGGTGGCAGGCTGGACACAATAAAGTGTGACATAAGAAAAGCATGACTCAGATCATCTTTTCCTTCAGAATATGTCAGTGACAATATGAGCGTATGACTGCAGTTGTAGTTAAGAGGATCGATTTCGCACTCCCCCTGCATTACAACATAGCTCCCCTGAAAGTGCTTGCAAAGTAGCAATTTGGTAGCCACTGGCAAAAATCCAATCACAATTGTTTAAAAGGCAACACATCCAAAAGTGATTTTGTAAATCTGCTAGTTCAACATGCCTGTGAAGAAAAAGCCCCTGATTACCCATAAACATAATACTACAGGAAAGAACTGACACACCTCTCCTGAAAGATATTCCAGCAGAATATACTAAATAGGTATTTCCAACAGGAAGAAATGCTAAAAGCCGTTAAAAAAAAAAAAAGAAAAAAAAGAAAAAGAAAAAATAAAAAAACCTGATTTAATTGGGTAGAAAAAATCATAGTTGCAATTTTTGTTTAACAACCAGCATACACAATTACCTGCTCAATATCCAACTTCATGATGGCCTTCTGAAGATATCTCACACCACCATGGATCAATTTAGTGCTTCTGCTGCTGGTCCCTGATGAGAAATCATCTCTTTCTACAAGCGCTGTTTTTAGTCCTGTGTAACCAGAAAACCAAATTAACTTCTTAAATTACACAATTTGTATGTAATTCATTAAAGGCACTTCTCCAGGGTAGAGACAATCACAAGAAAAATTACTCCGAACATGGATAAATTTGTATTCAAAGTGCAGTACACTGTCTATATTATAATGAAGAGATTTTAGGCTCTTCCTGGGGGAAAAGTCAAGCCAGAACTAGAAGCATATTAAGCTGTGAATGAATCACAACTAGAAAATATTACAGTGCAATTTCATGGCAGTAACATACTCTGGTGCACTTAGAAGGTTAAAAGAGAGACCAGCACCCAACTCTACCCATGTAGAGTTAACTGAATGCTGTTGCAAAGCCTTCTAATCGTTCATCTCTCACTACAAGAGTCCAGACCTGTCGCAGCCCCTCATCTCTGATCTACTCTAAATGCACGCATCATGAATAAATCTAGACAAGACTTCCTTCTATGTGTTGACTTCTGTTGAGAAATGTGTCTGGAGTGGTATTATGGTAGATATACAATGGGGAAAGAGATCCAAGATATCGAAACAAAGAAAGAACAAAAGAAAAGAATGAAAAAACAAAAGAAATAAAGAAAAGAATAAGTTCTGATATTGAGGTGTTTATAGTCTAATTTAAAACCTTTGAACATGACAATATTTTAGAATTACAAAGAAATACAAGCCAGTAAAAATGAACACAGTGCAGAGTAACCATGAGTAAAAAATATATTCTTGCCAGGCGTGGTGGCTCATGCCTGTAATCTCAGCACTTTGAGAGGCTGAGGCGGGCAGATCACTTGAGGTCAGGAGTTCAAGACCAACCTGGCCAACATGGTAAAAACCGGGTCTCTACTAAAAATACAAAAAATTAGCTGGGCATGGTGGCTTGTGCTTGCAATCCCAGCTACTCGGGAGGCTAAGGCAGGAGAATCACTTGAACCCAGGAGGCAGAGGTTACAGTGAGCCAAGATTGTGCCACTGCACTCCAGCCTGGGTGACAGGGTGAGACGCCATCTCAGAAAAAAAAAAAGAAAAGAAGAAAAAGAACATATTCTTGATAAGGAAAGGCTGAGCAAAGGTAGCTCAGTTGTAGCAGTTGCCCATTCCCCCTTTACTTGAGGGCTGTTATAGATCTCTTAGGGATAAGTAGTTCTGTTTTGCTGCAGAGACACCGTGCCTTTTCAGGAGTGGAGATGATCATCAGCACTACAAGTGTCACACAGGAGTTGAGAGATGAAAGTCAGTACCCCAAAAGACCCAAAGTATACATCGACACCAAGCCATGAGGAATTTTCATGGCCTGGAAAACTCCTGGAGGATGAAAGAATGTCATAGAATCCAATTACAATGAGAATACGTAACTAGAGCAGTTTGGACTCACAAAGTTCATTTAGGAGAAACTGCACATGTATTCAATTCAAAGCCACTTATTACATTTAATACCAAAGGGTCGTTTTTATAACTTTTAACAGTTTAAATATCGTACCCAAATGTCATCATAAAATCAGGGCAATTCCCTTGACTCAAAAGGACAAAATATTTAGAAGGTATGGAGAGAAAAGTAGAGAACTTTGATTCAAGGGCAAAAACTGTTAATGCCTTAACTACCTAGAAAAATAACAAAAAAATTACAGGTATCACAGCCCCAGGTCACTCCTTTTAAGTATATATGCCAGAGAAAGAGCTGTAAAATTCTCAACTATTAAAACCCTAGCAATGCCTAGCAAATTTAGTACTGAATATACTAAAAACACAGAAAAATATTAGTACATATTTTTAAGAATATTGAGAGCCAAAATCCTGATATTAGAAGTTAATTAGGCATGGACTAGGCTGTCAGGTAGCTCCCTGCTCAAAGAAAAGCAAGTAAACAAAGTGCAGCAGTTTAATAGAGGCCAAGTTTGAAAATCCAGAAGATTCTCATCATACTCCAGGTTAGAAGGTAAATTCAGGATATAAACCCAGAAAAACGAAATTTGCAAATCTCTTAAGAATGCACTATCTCAGTGAGCTATATCACCTTTTCTTAGTAAGTCCAACACAGAGTTCTTCTTCTAGCACTAAAATAGACCATTTTTTCTTCAGCTGAAGATCAGACGAGGGAGTTGACTTTCAAATGATATTTAAGAGCCAGATTATTTAAAATATACCTCTCTTTAAACCCTGGAATCACTGTCATGGCATCAAGATGCCCACACCATGCGAGGCAGGGAAGCAAGGTTGAGAGAGGACAAGCAGCCTCCCCCACGGCCCACAGCTTCCTCACCTGGGCCTATCCTTAGGGCTACCTACCCTAAGGTATCCTACAGGCTATGGTAGACAGACTACTTAGATAGTCTCCAGTAATCCCAACTGCCTAGTATGTCACCCCCTGCCCTGGAGTGTGGGCTAGACTAGCACTCTTCTTCTAATGAGCAGGTGACCTGCCACTACTATAATTAGGTCATTAAAGACTGGGAAATGCTCTTTCTCTTTCCAGTATTCTGTCTTGCCCTCCTGCTTGCTTGCTCTGGTGAAGCAAGCTGTCGTGTTGTGAGTTCAGGAACAAAGGGAGGCTCCTGGTCAGCAAGTGGTGAGGAACAGAGACCTCAGTCCAACAACCATGTGAGTTACTAGAAAGCACTGTCCACTATAAGAGATGCAGAGCCATAGTACCCAGCTAAGGCTCACCCAGATTCCTGACCCACTGAAACTGGCTGATGATAACTCTTGTTTTACACCAGCAAATTTTGGGCTTAGTTTTGTAGTGACACAATTCCCTGTGTGAAAATTAACTATAGCCAAGATGGGAGAGATGGGAGTTTACCTTGTACCTGGGGATGGAGTCGTCAGAAAAGAAGAGTCTACAGAGAAGTATGTGTTCAGGGCGGGTGGAGTGAAGAAAGGGAAAGATCATTGACAAAGCCCAGCTTAAGACAGAGAAGGCAAACGCTTGATGTGGCCTAGCTTATCCAGGGGCTGCTTGTCACTCAGGGGCTGGAGTGCAGGTACAAAGAATGGGCAAGGCAGATCTCAGAGGGCTCTTCTTACACATTCGAGTATTTGGATCTTGCCCTGTTAGCCACTGTTTTTCACAAGTAAGTAATATCCAGATCTCCTCAAAAGGAAAATGCCTCTGAGAACAGAGCTATGTGTCCTGGATCACTTTAAGAAACAAATGTTTCATCAGAAAAAAACAAGATGTGGCCAGGTGTGAGTGGCTCATATCTTTAATCCCAGCACTTTGGAGGCCAAGGCGGGAGGATGATCACTTGAGCCCAGGAGTTCGAGACCAGCCTAGACATCATGACAAAACGCTGTATCAACCAAAAAATACAAAAATTAGCCGGGCATGGTGGCATGTGCCTGTATTCACAGCTACTCGGGAGGCTGAGGTGGGAGAATCGCTTGAGCCCAAAAGACAGAAGTTGCAGTGGGCCAAGATTGCACTGCTGCACTTCAGCCTGAATGACAGAATGAGACCCTGTCTCAAAAAAAAGGAAGGAAGGAAGGAAGGAAGGAAGGAAGGAAGGAAGGAAGGAAGGAAGGAAGGAAAGAAGGAAGGAAGGAAAGAAAGAAAAGAAAAAGAAAAAGAAAAAGAAAAAATGGCTGGGCACAGTAGTTCATGACTATAATCCCAGCACTTTGGGAGGCCAAGGTGGGAGGATCACTTGAGGTCAGGAGTTCAAGATCAGCCTGATCAACCTGGCAAAACTCCATCTCTACTTAAAAATACATATACACGAAAATTAGTTAGGTGCAGTGGCGCATGCCTGTAATCCCAGCTGCTCAGGAGGCTGAGGCAGGAGAATCACTTGAACCCAGGAGGCGGAGGCTGCAGTGAGCCGAGATCGCACCATTGCAATCCAGCCTAGGCAATAGAGTGAGAATCCGTCTCAAGGAAAGAAAAAAAAAAAAAAAAGATGCAACATGGACAGGCAGGCACGAATATTAGTATTTCTGGTATTTTGCACAGTTATAAGGTATCCATTCTGGGGAACCAGGGTGTGCTTGTTAATTTATCATTATGAAAAAGGATAACATTTAAATTTTTTCTAGAAGTTCTCAGATACTGTTTTGAGAAATACTATTATGCTGCTTGTCAGGAGAACTATCAAAATATTTTCAGCTGAGAAATGAGATTAAGGTTCAGAAAAGATTTCTCTGACTGCAGGAATGAGGGGTAGAGGCAGAGCTGGAGGCAGGAGACCTTTTGGAGGACCAGGGTCATATAACAGGAGTTGCAGCAATGAAGAATCCGGCCTCACAAGGCAGAGAGGGTATTGAAGAGTGATATAAAGAGAAAATTTTATGGGCTGTGTTGTCAGGATGGATTTTTTTTTTTTTTAATTTCCCAAATTGACAGAGTGTGAGGCAGGGAACTACTCTAGGAATTAGCAAGCCATCTCAGGAGGATATTTCAGGATATTTAAGTGAGAGCTAACACTTTAAAGCTCTCAAAACTGCTTTTTCCAGTATTGGACATTTTAAAAGTTATCACATGTACTTATGTGAGAAACCCTAGTGAATACCAACAAAAGTTAAAATGGGCCTCTCTGTCAAACCAGGCTGTTTTTCTTGTCCCATTATTTCTAGTGTCAAATCATCAAGTTACCCACCAGAATTTCTGGAAAGAAATGATACTGCTCCTTCCAGAGCAAAAAGTTAAAATTTTAGTTTCCAAAGTTATAGCTAAACTGATATATTAAAATGCCATGTAACATAAAAAGCATTACTAAAACTTTTCCAAACTACAAAAGAACTCTAAAAATTTTCTTTACTTTTCAACTGCTATTATATGCTAAATGTTTTAAATCTCTCATTTTTTGTTGAATGAGAAGTAGAAAGGAGGAAAATAAAATCAAGACATTATTAAAGTCATAGCGGCAACTCAACTATTTCTTAACTAATTAACCAACCAACTGCAATGAAGACAATAACATTTTTAAAAGTTTTTTGAGGTTCTTCTGTGGTTCTGTTATCTAATCTGTCCCTTTCTGTTTCAACTCTCAAAAATCCAAAT